ATCAAATTAGAACCATAGATGTCCATTGAATATCATGTTGTCAAGAAGTTGTGTGCAGCCTCTTTCAGTCTCTGGGCCCCTAACCCAGTTGTTTCCTGACTTAAACTAGCAAGGGGTAGCATCTTAAAGAGGCGACCCCACCAGCTGGCATCCTGTCCTGATGTAGCCTCTGCCACTCAGAACATGGAAACTTTCTATGCTCTGAGTAGATAGCAGCCAGAGCAGGGGCACATCAAGGCCTACTCTCCTTCCCTCCCTGGCTGCTTGGTAATCTCACAACTCTGTGTAAGTAGATGATAAGCAAGGCCACTTAGGCAAGCGAGAGTCAGGAAGGAAGGGAGTGCAATGTCGTAGCAGATTTATATTAGCAATTATTCTGTGTTGAAATGCTACCCACATACAAGTTTCTTCATCAGCAAATAAACTTATTTGACTCTTGAAGAAAGAGATCTTGAAGTGCAAGATAGCTGTCAGGATCTCGATGTAAGTGCTGGTTTCGGGGGACTCCCACAAGTTGGGGGGAGAAAGCATTTGAATTTATACCCTCTTTCGGAAGTGTCCCTGGTAGAGCAATAAATACAAACCGTAAACAGACTTGTTCAGTTGTCCTTGTAAAAAATAAAAAAAGCATCTCCCAGGAATGTTTCAGAACAAAGTAGTATAATAGAGAAAACAGATCTCTGTGGATAAAGCCAGTGCTTATTATTCATAGGCTGATTTACAGATTCACCCTTTCTCACTGTTGATGACAGAAATAGGAGAGGGAAAAGTTAAATACAGGCTCAGCAAACTCAAAACACATTAGCATTTCATTTGTGTTCTCTTTATTTGGTTGGTTACCTAGTAATCAACTCCGGAATCACCATCCGGGTAAGTACTCATTAAGTACATATAGTTACAGGTTGTGCTATGTATCGTACATTTAAGATTTATTAAGCAAGACGAGTCCTTACCACATAGAAATTACTAATCATCTGGTAATAAAACAGTGTAGTATCACTATCATTCCCAGCTTTAGATGCCAGCCAGAGGACGAAGTATTATTGAATTAACGTGGAAGCATTAGGGAAATAATCTATCCACATTAAATACTAAGTAGGTTAGTGCTAGTCATTATTCATCTTGACAATAATTGAACCTTTATCAGAAGGAAAGGTAGTTTTAATCCATTTAAATTGTCCAGTTTGCTGAAGAAAATCATCATCTAAGAAATATGGAAAAATAATCATACATTTGGATCACGGATGACACATTTTACTTGTTTTTGTGGTGTTCAGGATCCAACCCAGGGCCACACCCATGGAAAGCTGCCTTCTACCGCTGAGCCACAGCCCAGCCCCAGGACATTTTTAATTACTCATTTGAAGAGGGAAGAGTTAATGCTTTCTTAGGTGACCTCTCTAAGAGAGAAAGCCTAAATTTAATTCTGAACTAATGTGGAGCATTATTTAGATTTTACCAAGAGGAAGATTTATCCAGTATACAATGAACAACTTTAATAAGTATCACCCTCATCCACTGGCTGTCTGGGACCAAGATATGGGCTCTGTCATAAATAAGTTTATCCACCTGCTCTATCGCAGCCATTCCAACTTCACAGTCAATGTGAAGAGCAGTGTCCATATGCAGCTGTGTGACCACGAACAACTAGTGTCACCACGCTCCTTATTCCCTCCTATAAAACTGGGAATTTAGGCTCTGCCCTTGAGGTCCCTTATAACTCACATTCTGTGCCATCATTTATCTTAGTTGTCTTTGCTGTGGAATTGATAGTTTTTTAAAGAGAGCTTTAAAAACATGTAGGAAAGAGAACGATCCTTATGGGAAAGTTAGCGGTGTGTTGGGACTAGTTCTTATTCTAGAAGTGAGGAAATTGGAGAAAAAACAGGAGAAGATTTTTCTTGTCTTGGTTGTTGAGACACACTTTTTGGTGTATGTTATGATGATGGGATTGTATAACAATGTTCGTTTCACTTCAGTGATGCAGAATTGTAAGTAATACACCTCAAGCTACCGTCACCCAAGTCTGAGTTATACTGAATGAGTAAGAGAAATAATAATGAGGGAATGTTTTTAGTGTTCTCAGAGAGATGAAGAGTTTGAATACAAGAGTCCCGGGGCTTGAAAATACGGCACTTGGGGAAACAAAGTTCTGCTCAGGTCCCAGCGGTCGATCGTGTCACACAGAGGCCGAAGGACTCCACGTACTCGTAAGGTCACATCCAGCTTGGATGCTCACCGCAGGCAAGCAGGACAATCTGGGGCTACTCAGCCACTAAGCTTGGTCCTTTATCTCAAAATGAAAGATAATACTTTACCTGCGTGGTGAGGTATTAGGAGGATTAAACAACAAAGCCTTTTAGCATGGTGTTTACCTGTACAAATTACTCAGTAAGCAGGATCCTGTGATTGCAGTCACGGCTTTTACAGTGGATGAAGAAGAATTATAGTATTTCCTATTACTGTTGCCTACATTAACTTACTAGGTTGTTTTAATGAGTCCTTGCTTATACTGAGCTTTTATGCATATATATGTAGTATATATGTTTTATATATTATACTACATGGGTATAGAGATTAGTAATTTAATGCTATGCCCTTGCAAATTTTAGAAGAGAAATGAAAGTAGTGGATATATATAGCTGAAAGTAGTTTCTTCCTGAAATGTTCAATCAAGTTCCCATGAAAACTATCCCACTTTTCCATGTCTCTCTAAAGTGCAGAAATAGTTTACTTCTTTTTAAGGAAGAAAATGTACATGGTGTTTTTCTGAATACTTCAGTCATTATTAACATGTTACTGGGAAGCACTGTTTGCCCTCAGTGACACTAACTGTTCATTCTCTCTGTTTGTTTGGCACCTGCAGTTACAGATGCATAATTATTTTTCCCCATTCCATAATTTGATAGCAGAAGTCAATGCTTGTTCAGCAGATATTTATTAAACACTTACTGTGTGCCAGGCCCTGTGTATCCAAGAGAAGGGTTTGCCAGCCTCGGCAGAGGAGATTTAAGCTTTTGCTTATTAGTTGAGTCCTGGAATGGTCCTAGGTGATGTTTAAGTAGGTCGTTTTCATTTGTTTAAATAGCAATGTTGCTTGTATAGATGATGAGGTCCCCTGTGGTTCAGCAACACATGCCGTTTGCTAGAGAAATAAAATATGCATCGCTTTACAAATAATACTCTTTCGGTTAACAAATTTTGCCTCTGGTATTATGTCTTGTGACTTGCTTTGCAACCCAGTCCCTATTGATCTGCCTGAGTCGGGAATACCCATTTCAAGCGAAGCATTGCTGTCTTAGGAAATGTATACAGATGTTTAAATTATGTACAAGGCCTCTGTTGCTATTGGACTGGATTTCTATAGAAACTTGCTCTTTCTTTTTTCTTTTGCATTATCGGTGCCATTGCTCATTTTTATGTGATAGTGATAAATCAGCAGGCTCAGAGGGACCTGAAGAATTCCACTTTATCTGGCTTACATACTTTTGAATTACTAGTCCTATCAAAACCTAACAGCCCAGGTCAGTGACTCAGAAGACAGTGATCCTATCTGTGGACATCTTGAGATGTTGCCCCAGTAGATGTTCTGAATCATCACTCATAAAGATGTTATCTTCTGCAGTGAATCATCCTTAAAAATAAAACACTATGGATTTTTTGTTTTTGAGACAGGGTCTCACTGTGCAAGCAGGATGGCTTTGAACTCACTATATATCACATTCTGGTCCTTGCAGTGATCCTCCTGCCTCAGCCTACTGAGTGCTGGTATTACAGGCATGCACCGCTATGCCTGGTGGAATATTTTTCAATGTGTGCATGTGTGTACAAGACAGAATAATTAGCCTCTATTTCATCATCTCTTGTCAATCTTCCTTCATCTCTCCACTGTAATACTTTAGTAGTTTTGTTTCCTAGGGTATTTCAAAGTAAATCTAAGATGTAATTTTACTCATAAATATTTCAGTATGTGTCAGTAACTGATTTTTTGCAGATAGCAATTGAACCCAGGGCCTTAGCACTGAGCTCCGTTCCCAGCCTTGTTAATTTTTTATTTTGAGACAGGGTCTCGCTAAGTTGCTAAGTGGCCCAAGCTGGGCTTGAAGTTTTACTTCTCCTGCTTCAGCCTCCCAGAGTGCTGGGATTGCAGGTGTGTGCCACCACTTCTGGCTTTAAATTGGTTTCAATCTAAAATAGCCTCACATTTTTACCCTGTCCTATTGACTTGAATAAGTTCCCTCGTCCTGTGGGATGGCCCACAGTTTACGTTATCACTTATACTTTCTATAAACAGGCAGTTAGATCAGAGATTTGGTTAAATTCTAGTTTAAGTGTCCAGGCCAGTGGACTACAGGTGATTCTGTGTTCTTCCTGTTGTATAGTTAACAATGATGACTTTTATGAAGGTTAATATTGGCTACCTGGCCATTTTGAAGAAGGTTTCAAGAATCCATGTTGGGCATCCTACATCCTATAACTTGTATTTTAGTGTTTTTAATTATCAGTTATTACTCCAAGGTTATTGTTTAGACCATTATCCTACCAGGAAGTTTCAATTTTAAATGGCTTTCTTGTCCCAGTATACAACCTTATTATCAGATATTGGCAATAAAAACAATCATTTTTAAAATTCATCTACTCAAACTAACTCAAATGCTAAAGAATAAAATTAATTGAAATGGTGACTTTCTTTACCTCAGTGCTATATTGTTGAGGATTTTAATGAGAGAATCTATCTCTACTGACATTTGACTTCCTGTGCTGGGCAGCCTGCCAAGGGACTAACCCTAATGCTAACCCTAAGTCCAGGGGACTCCATCCAGACACCATGTCACCATGAGAACCAAAGTTGTTCTCTCAAGGGGATGTGTTCCCAAGAGCGTGTTTTTACTGCTTATGAAAAAGGGAGCTGATATAAGAGTTAATGTTGCCCAATGAATAAAAATAAACTGCTGAAGGACTCTGACTTCATGAGGTGTTGCTTATTTGTCTGTTCGTAGGAAGAAGTCTTTCCTGTTTTCCGCTCTGTATGCTGCCTTTATATTTGGTGGTCGGCACCTAATGAACAAACGGGCGAAGTTTGAACTGAGGAAGCCATTAGTGCTCTGGTCGCTGACCCTCGCAGTCTTCAGGTAGGTTCTGATTATTTTCTTAACAAAAATTCATCCATCCATTGTATTTGCTGAAACAAAGAGTACTTGAGTGTTTTATTTTATGTTTGGTATTTTTGATTATTGAATGTATTGTGGACATAAAATAAAGTTACGTTCAGAAAGAAAGCCTTCACTGTGCCTCTGGGCCAGGACGTACTCACTCTCATATTTTGGGAGTTCTCAGGCCACTTGTGTTTCTGTCCAAACTGATCATGCAGTGGTCAGATTCCACCTTTGGGACTGAAAGCAGTGTACCAGTTCCTTCATTTCTGTTACATAAATAAAGTGAAGGGCTGAATGAATACTGTTGATGTGTATTGGAGAGCAGGTTTCAAATGTCATGGGCCAGCTCTGACCAGCACTTAATCTGAAGGTGGTGCTTAGATATGACCGGAGGCTGGACGTCTGCCCATGTCTGTCGTGCTGGACCAGAGCTTTGCCCTGCCTCCCTAAAGCATCTTCTACCCTCTCTCCCCGAACCGACTTGCAGGCATATGGTGTGTGGCCAGGTCTGACTTGACATCTGCAGAACTCAATGCAGAGGCTGTCGGAAGAAGGCCTGGTGTCTGTAGGGGCGCCTGGCCCCTAACACGCAGACACATTCCTCTGGACTGTATGGGGCATTTCCGGGCTTGTCATATTTGGTGAAATAGGCCATCACAAGACTAATTAACACACAGCTGGAGTCCACGCGGGTGCCAGAATTTACCTACAGCACCAACAAAGGCACCTGTTTTATTTGTGATTTGCTTATCAAAGTGGCAGGTTGACACCTGGAGCTGGGGGAGTTCTGGTTGGAGTCCAGAACACCATTCATTTTAGTGTTTATGAGTATCCATTTTGATTTGTTCCTATTCTGTGGTAACTCTTCTACCATTAAGCAGAAATAGATGGCTTTGTTAGCAACCTTGTTGGTCACTAACGTTTGTTAAAAATGACCAGGAGAAAGAGGACTTTTCCAGGAGACTTCTAGGATGTGTACATTTCCATTACCTTGGAGCCCTGTACCTGAAACACCCATTTGCTCATCATTGCTGAATATTGTTTTCATGTGAACTATAAGGCCTGTCTTCTTAAGCATTATGAGCTCACAGATTTTTAATGTGTCGATGGTTTTGAGATATATTTGATTTTGATGTATTTTAATCCTTTGCTGTTGTTTTGCACCCTGGCAGCTTGTTTGCTTTGTTGTCATCTGACAAGATGTTGCCAGCCAAACACATTGGCTATTCTTTATCCAGAACTAGATCAGCCATTTCTCCAAAAAGCGTTCTCTTTATTTTGGAGATGTCTAAAGCTGGATCTTTCGCCTGGACTTGATCCACCTACTCTAAAAATCACAATAACGTGACACTAATTGAATCACTTCACTCTTTTTGAAAAGCCACAAGCAACAATAAAAATAAGAAGTGGCAACTTTCCATGCTTTGAGTGTAAGACCTGGAGCTTAGGAATGGGTCTGTCCCTTCTGACCTCAGGCAGCCTTACTATTCTGCTTAGGGCTTCTGTGTAACTATCAGTAGCTCCCAGTTCACTCTCAGAAACATCCCAGTTTAAATGCTAACATGGCATTCTGTTCAGTACAGAAAAGCAAGACTATCAAGATTGTTTGCCAACTTACCAAAGAGGAATCTTTATCTTTAGTGTTGACCTTGCATGAAACTTCCTTGCTTGCTCCATTCCAACAGGAGATGCATAGTTACTCAAACTTAAAGTATCCAAGTGGGGTCCTCTGTTGATATCCTTTTACCACAATTTGTCACATCCTGGTGAAGATCTGTGAGGTCATTCTGGATTTGCAAGGAATGCTTCCTGCGAGGTCCCAGGCTGTGTCACCAGGGCATGGTCAGCACCTCGCCATTTCCGTAGATACTCCAAGCACTCATTGCTGTCCCTCAGTGTTTTCCCAATCCAAGTAATTATAACCAAGGCGAGATAAATGCCACATCGCACCTGCACACCAACGCGCCACCTCCATCCCATAGCATTTCCCTGCTTAACCAGTTGCTGAAACTCCTCTGCCAATAGTGAAGAACTGAGTGTAGCCATAAAAGCTTAACGTCTTCCCTGACCTACCTTTCCCTGCTGCCTGTCCACACATCTCCTTCTGAACTAGCATGAAAAGCCCATTCCTCTTTCCTTTTTGTTTTTTTTTTTTTTTTTTGGTTTTTCTCCGGTACCGGGAACCGAACTCACGACCTTGTGCTTGCCAGGCAGGCGCTTTGCCGCTGAGCTAAATCCCCAGCCCCCCTCTTTCCTTTTTGAATGCACATCTCTTTCTGCATTCTTTCCCATTTGTCCCCCTTCAACCTTAGCCATTGCTGAGACTTAACAGAATTTCTTTGTAGCGGCTTCTCTGATCATTTCAGCCCATAGCTCATCTTCCCACAAACATCCTCCTGTCTCATCAATAACCAGACTCTAGACTTGTGCTGGTGAACCCATATTATCAGAGGTTTCAGTGATAATAAACAGCCTTGGGCCATAGATTCCCCGCTACTGCTCTAGACTGTCACACCTCCTGGGAGACTGTAAGTTCTCTAAGGCAAGAATAGTCTCTTCTTGCCCTTGAAGCACCCATTGCACACAGTTCTTGAATTAATGAATAGAAATCCAGCACTTGGCCAGATCTCCAGTCATTTGTAACAAATGATTTTAGTCATTTCTGTTTTTTTCCCCCCTTTGGCCATACTAGGAATTAAACTCAGGGCCTTCCCACTGAGCCATACCCTCAACTCTTTATTTCCTAATGTTTTATTTTGAGACAGCATCTCAGTAATTTGGCCAGGCTAGACTCAAACTTGAGGTCCTCCTGCCTCAGCCTCCCAGTGTGTTGGGATGACAAGCATGCATCGTTTCACTTCTTTACTCTGTATTTCTTATGTCAATTGCCTCTGACACACCTGAGCCCAACCTTCATCTGTCATCATCAGGCTTTCCTTGTGGGCATAAAGATGCATCAGGAAAGTAGGGATGAACGCCATGTAATGTCAGGAGCTTTCCAGTAGCCTGCAGGGCCCACAGCATGACCTTCGCTGCTGCCTGACCTCTCTGAGTCACTCTGACCTCCTTGGTATCCCTTAAACGCCACACCAAAGTGTCTGCCCTTCCCGGTTCCCTGAGGCCTGCCCTGCCCTCACCTCCCTTAGATCTTCATCAGCCTTGGCTCCCTACAAAATCCACACCACTTACCGCCTCTCCCAACTCCTTTTTCTCCTTTGCACTTCACACCTCCTGGCCCGCCTACCCGATGTGCTACTTATCTTGTCCATTTTCTGTCCCTCCCGTGGACTCTAAGCCTCATGAGGGCAGGAATGTTTGTGTCTAATTTCCCACTGTGTCTAGAGCCCAAGTAGGTGCTTATTAGCACATACCTCTTTTTTTAAAAAGATTACTAATTTTTTTAAAAAATTAGTAAGGGCAAAGAAAATGCAGAGACTTGCTAGCAACTGTGAGTATTTCTCAAAGGGGAAATACAGAAAGTTTTTCTGCTTTGCATCAAGATGTCCCAGGATGAGGCAGAGCTCACAGCTGCTGGGAAGGTGTTTACTGAAGCAGACTGAGGAGGACACCAGCCTGCTTTGCGGACGTCACTGTGGGCTGTGGGCGGTGTGGCAGGCTGGCCTTGCCCTGCCTGGTGTCTGCATGTCGCAGCCTACCAGAGAGCTGCAGAGCTGAGTGTTTGCCGAGAGTGCCTCTCGTTAGAGCCTGCCTCACTCTTTCTTATTAACCACTGGGAAAGCTATCTGATTGACCACCGCAGATGCTATCCAGCACCTATTTTTTCAAGTCATAGAATTTCCTCCTCTAGTTATAAATGTGCAGATTCTCTGGGCAAGCATATACCAGAAGTCATTACTGTCATTATCCATAGATATTTTTAGTATTTTGGTGTGTGCCTCTCCCAGTAATTTAATGTTAAAGTTTTATTATTTTAATTTTCTGTCATGCAGTTAATTCATTCGAGGTCAGACAAAGACGTGACTTCTACAATATCTTTATATTACAGATACTAAAACAACTCGAAAACGCTGCCATGTAAGATGTTTGAAATCTTTACCAAATAAATGAGTATTTAGATAGCTGGCATACTGTTGGTTGAAAAATAACATGAGGCTCCTAGAAGATACTGCATGGAGATTAGGATGTACACGCATTAACACCTTCAGCATTGAGTGGTTATTGCGAATTAAGATTTAGTTACAGATTGTAGTGTTTGTAAACTTTCTGTGTTGCCTCATAAATCCTTAAAGGGTCATTCTTGATAGTAGAGTTTGGTGTGGGGTAGGGTGGTGTGTGTGTGTGTGTGTGTGTGTGTGTGTGTGTGTGTGTATAACTACAAGATTTTGAATCCTTAAGAAGTCCATCAGACCTACCAAATGAACTTTTGGGGGATTTGTCTCATTGTATTTAGTGATGCTAACTCACTGCTGAACTAAGGTGGCCACAGCTGCAGGTTGTCAGGAAAGACAAAGACGAGAAGTTTCAGTCCCAGAGATTCCCATTAGAGAGCAGGAGAAGAGCTCTCTCGACGTGCAGGTGTGGATGTGTGTGGAAGGCGACAGAAAGGAAACAGGATCAGGATTTACCATAGGGACACTGGCCATCCACACTGCGGTTCCCTGCTGCTGTTACAACAGTGAAACTCATCCTGATCCCACACAAGGAAACTCACTCAGGCCTCTGTTTGAAACTACTGAACACTCTTACAGGAAAACTTTCCATTTTTACTCTCTGCACTTTAGTGAAAGGCTCCAAATTGTGTTTGTCGATTTCTGTTGATGCTATGGTATTGACAGGTGATCAGGATCTTGAGTTTTGTATGTGACATTGAGATCTCCAGTTTTTCTCCTTTCAAAACCAGCAGTTCTTTCTGCAGTGCCACCGGGAGTGGGTTTGTTGAATTTGTAGCTAGCTCTCTTTGGAACTTCTAACCATTTGTGCAAAAAATATACAAGTGAGAATTGGTGCAGGCTGCT